AGAGGGTGGGGGAGGGGCTGTGAAGACCGGCGACAAGAGGGTGGGGGAGGGGCTGTGAAGACCGGCGATGTGTTACCTTCACCGTTAGGGCTCAATCGATCGATAGGGTTTGCAACTCGATTTGTTAGGGAAAGACGGTGAACAGAAGAACGAACGATCGTGGGGGATGCGATGGTGGGGGAGGGGCTGTGAACGAATGAACGAACAGAAGAACGAACGAACGGCGATGTGTTCCTCTTTGCCCTCATCGATGGCTTCAATCTGTGATGAATCATCGAGAATCATCGAGAATCAGGGTGGGGGAGGGGCTGTGAAGAACGGCGACGAGTGAGGGTGGGGGAGGGAAGGAGACGAGCTGGAGAAGATGGAGACGATGACTGCAGCGACGACTTGGGGTGAAGGAGACACATCTGGTAAAGGGAGCAGGTAAAGGGTAAAGTGGGTAGAATTGTCATCAGAATGGTTGAGTGAGGTAGGAGATGCAAAATGGTTAAGAGCCTTATGTAACCATTAAGAGGCTCTTTTTTTTTGCCAAACAGCCCAAACCTTTGACCGATTAAGAGGTTTCCTCTTAATGTCACCATTAAGAGGGAAACAAACAGCCCCTAAGCCTACCCTAGATATAAAAAACGTGGAGGGTGAAAATGAAGATAGGGTGTTAAAACGCACGTGCATGCACATGGGTGAGTGAAGGTATATGGTTATCACAGTTAAAAGTAGGTGAGAAGTGCATTTAAAAATAGATGGGGTTAATAATAGTTACTATTATATTAAGGGTGAAAGTGATGCCAACTTCCCCTTACTAACATTAATTTACTTTTCTTTTTCAACATTTATTTCCATAAAACTAACAAATAAAAAATGTTAATTTGTGTTTAATTAAATATTTCTTTTTTATTCAAATAATTACTTAACATCAATAATTATTATATTTAATATTTGATATATACAGATTCTGTATATTGATTAAAATTAAAATAAAAAAGTAAATATATATGCTTTATTTTTACATTTTGATTCATGTGGGTCTATTTATATTTAAAAAGATACCCCAATACATATGAAAGTAGCAACATTTAAACACAAAAGCCTCAAAATCTTGGGGTTGGATTGCAAATATGCTTTAGAGAGAGAGGATTTGCTTAAGAAATATATGGAGGAAGTTTGATTCCTTATAGGAATCCACCCTATAACTATATATATATATATAAATAGGGAGGAAGATTTAAATTAAAAAGATAAAAATATTGAGAATAAATCATTATAAATGAATGAATTATTGGTAAACTTGGATAAATTGATTTGAAGAATCTGCGTTGTACTTTTTACCAATTATTAAATATGAAGATGCATGCAAATCATATTTTCTTTTACCAATGATTCATTCAAGTATAAATCATTTATTCGTATGTTTTTAGTCTTTTGTTTTTTTGATTCTATGTATGTATGTATGTATATATACTAATAAATGGAAGACTTTTACTTACAAATTTTTTCTTGAGAAATATATCATTAAAGGAGTGATTCGTCACATGTTACAAAAGTTGGTAGGTAAATTGTTGTTCAAAACTCGAATTAGTGGGCATATTACTCATGTATTTTCTGGATGGTTCGTTGGTATTTCTTGAAATACATCGGATTCTATCGGAACCATTGGTGTTTTACTGTTTTCTGGATCCATTTGTTTCATAGTGAGATATATATATATATATATATATTTTTGAGAGAGAGAGAGAGAGATAAAAGGATAATCAAATGAGAATATAGTTAAGAATAAAAGAACAAAAACTACAAAAGCACATGTGATTTTTCACATTACGGAATAATACAGCGAATGCGAGGGTGAATGGACGACTTGGCTTGAGACCCTAGGTTGCGGCCAAAGTCACATAAATCACATATGATTTTAGTGTAAAATCACATGTGATTCGACCGTTTTCCTGTTCATTTATTTGATTGTTGTTCTCGTATGAAATTCTCTCTCTATATATAAAGAGAGAATCCTGGAAAATGAAAATAGGAAACCTCTATCAACTATTAGATCTAAAAAAGATTAATTCATACTCAAATGTAATCACCCTTATCATCAATATTCACAACCGTTGGATTAAAACTGATGGATGGTTGACGGCCTAAGGTTTCCCCATTCTCCACCTTTTAAGGTTTTTCATTGAATCCATAGACAAAAGATCGTGTGAGAATAAGAGTTAAGGTGATAAGTGTAAGAAGAGATTTAGACCTAATCTCAAACCAACTCATAAATTACGCTTTAAAAGAGAATTGATCCAACGCTTCTCATTAATGGAACTCTTCAATTTTAGTGTTGATCTAGTTAAACTTTTTAATTATAATTGATCCAAGGATGAAGATCACTTCTTACCCTTCTCACCATAATTTCTATTTTCACCGTAATCCAATCGTATCACTTATATCATCATCTTTGGGTCTGTTCAATTCTTTCAATTGATGGTGATTAAGTTTTGCAAATGCTGTGTAACCTACAATGGAAGACAATCAATCTTGAAATTGAATCAGCACTTGATGTTCTTAGGGGCAAATTTCAAGCCATTCGTGCACCATACTTCCTCCAATTCTCACCAACATAAAACCCATAATATATATAATAATCAACACTGATCAAGAAATCAATAAACCCTAATTAAACCAAATTAAAGATGCGGTTGACACTTGATGTAATTGATTTACTTATGACCTAATTAATACCTTGAAAACTAAAGTGCTACATTGTTTCATTAAATGTGAAATTAAGACCGAATGGGTAGCTAACTAGCTTCTCATATCTGTTTCTGCACATATATATATGTCCATGTATATGCAAAGTACACCCTAGCTCCTCCAACTTCACATCTCTTTTCTCTCGCTAATTAAGATATGTCAGCATTGAACCATCTTTTAGACGAACAGATTTGCTATGTGCAATGTGGCTTCTGCACCACAGTTTTACTGGTAAACTCTTGTGCATATACATACATACATACATACATACATATATGTGTATGTATTTATATACTCACTGCACTCAACTAAATTAGGGTTTACTGTTGCATTTCACTTTGGTTCCATATATATTGCTCATTTATATATGTTGCATCTATATATCTATCTATCTGGTTGCTGTTTGTAGGTTAGTGTACCATGTAGCTGCTTATCTATGGTGGTTACAGTCAAATGTGGCCATTGTACAAGTCTCCTTTCAGTCAACATGATGAGATCCTCTTTTCTTCCTCTTCATCTCTTTTCTTCTCTTGATAACCAAGAAGAGGTGTGTTTCTAATTAGATTTCTTAATTTTTCGGTTCATAATTATCTTGAAAAGCATCGATCGGTTTTTATGTATCTGTATATATCTCGGACACGCAGCCAACGGTGGAAGTTTGTAGAGAAGATGTACAAGTTCCTAAACCAGCACTCTTAAGCAAGCATAGCTCTTCCCCCCTCATCTCATCATCTTCATCCGATGAAGACAATGACGATGATCTTGTTCTAGTAAACCATGTCGTCAACAAGCGTAAAACTTTACTTGTATCTTATTTATATGCATCAACACACACATATTATAGGTATCCCACATGATAAAACACGCAAGCCCCCCTACAATGATCATGGAGTATACCTTAAATACTACTATATCTTCATGATGGACTCATTGATGAGTTTGTGTTTGCAGCCCCGGAGAAGAGGCAACGCGCTCCATCTGCGTATAACAAATTTATCAAGTAACGTATTTCATTTAAGTTGATTATTTGATTTGGGGAGATTTATGTCCAAATGATTCAACTCACCTGTGTTACACTATTATTATCAGAGAAGAGATCAGAAGGTTGAAGACACAACATCCCAACATGTCTCATAAGCAAGCTTTCAGTACTGCTGCCAAAAATGTAGGTTTTCTTCAAGTACAAAACATATATCTTTAATTAAGGAGATTAAACAAACAGTTAAAATAGCACACACATACAATGATCGGTTGCCATTGTTCCACTCTTGTTTCAGTGGGCTCATTCACCACCAAGTCAACAGAATGAAGGAGGGAAATCGAAGGGATCAGGTAATGAATCGACCGTCATGATGATCCAGGAGCCTGGTTCAGATGATCAGCCTTCTTAAGTTATAACATAGTTGATAAGAGTACTGGTAGCTGAGAGTTACGGATTAGAGGCTAGTAACTAAGTAGCTAAAATATCGTTCTAATTATGGTGATAATTTCATATACATGATTTGAAACTATTGCCTTAATCTAGCCAAATTAACATAATATCGTATGTTAGATACCTCAAAACATCAACATCTGTTCCTCTCTCTCTTTTACCCTTTGCTCATAATGTGTGTATATATATAAAGAGGGGATGTATTGGCTGGATAGTACTGCAAGGGTTCCATTGCCCCAAAAACATGCCCAATGACTTTATTTGCGTGCAAGACGTTCCGAGGACATGGTGCACGAATATTTCTATATAGCCAACACGACCCGTTAACTCCAAAAAATAAATATGCCCCTGATTACAAGCAGGCGAAAATGCCTATGTCTTGCGGTGTTCATGAACCAGTTTTTCTCATTTTAAGGGATTAGGAGTCGAAATCCTTTATCTTATAACTAGCTTATTAATTAAGCTGTATTTGTTTAGACCATTTTACAATTATCTTTGGTGAGTCTCATTTACATGATATGATTGCGGTGACAAAAGAAATTAGCATTAAAAGACTTGTAAACTTGAGGTTATAATGATGATTAAATTAGAAAAAAAGGAGTCGTTTTCAAACCACTAAATGTCAAGTTAGTGACACGTTACTACTAGTGTAGTATATATGAAAAGATGAAGATGATCATTTAAAGCTTAGTATATATATGAGTAGTAATTTATACCACAGAGATAGGAGCATGGCTTTCTGTTGCAAGAACTTGCAGGTCCCTTCACAAGGCAATGGCTTCTTGAAAAAGGCATGGATTCAAGACTTCTCTTTCAGCCAAAAAAAATGGCTTAAACAACATATGTGTAACTGACCCCATTGAGTTAAGAACCATGAGTTGTTGTTTCTATTTTAAGAGGGTGTTTTGGGTTCAATAATGGGTACATTATTGAAGTTATGAGGTATATATATGTGTAGTAGCTGGCTGGCTGGCTGTGGCTAGATGCTCTTCAAGTACTTATTATCCAAGAGCTTCAGTTTTTCATTTATGAGTGACAAATGATTGACAAAACCACCACCTTCTAATTGTGCCATTAATTTGCCAGTCAAAGCAAACTTTTTGCTTATTAAATAACTACCTGCAGTGTCTTCAAAATCCTTTGTTAATTAAGACTGCTTAATTAGTTAAGCTGTTGTCTAGACGATAATTAAGCATTCTTTTGACACCGATTATTTAGAGACAGTTTTGTTTACGGGATTTGAAATTAGATTTGATTTCATTTTCGTGTTTGGCTTAAAGAAAATTCCAGAATTGAAATATGAGGATTTTGTTGAAATTTCACAAACATTATATTTAGAAATCTGATGGCGTAGTTTGTATTTTTCACTGCAACAAAATTGAAGGACTCGTAAAGTGTGTGTTTAAGTGTCTTAACAGAGTGTCTTATAAGATTTAAGTTTATAGGACGGAAAAAAAATCATTGCTGATGGTTGTTTACTCAAACACTTACACGATAAGTGCTTATCAGTAAGATTCAACACTATTACTTACGTTACACGGTAAGATTTTAATTCATTGAAACAACATTGTATGCAACAATTGTCCGGTAAGTGCTAACCGGGTAAGAGTCGTCACTCTACTTACTGGATAAGACTCTTGGTTCTTGCAATCGTTCTTACCGAATAAGATTATCATTTTTTGCCACGTACTTCATCTGGTAAAATAATGTAGCTTGATAAAAGTTTACGGGTAAGCGTTAAATGGCCTCTAAAACTATTATAATAAGTTTATATGACGTTTTTGGGCGTCAAAACAAGTTCTTTAAAACATTTTTTTAAATAAAATGTTGTATTAGCTTTTTTTTTGGAAGGGTGTCCCGACTCTTGGACTAATCCCGGAAAAAATTGTGACCACAAGAAATCAACCCTGATAAACTCAGCGGCTACAATTTTTGTATACTCCTGGAATCAAACTCTTGGCAGATGAGATATTCTTGCACATCCTCCAGCACCTCAACCACTACGCCACAACCCTTGGGGTTCGTATTAGCTATTTATAGTTTAATATTTGAAGTGTTATATAAATACGAGTTTATAGGACACTTTTCAACATAAAATAGTTAATACGACATTTTATTTAAAAATATTTTAAAAAACTTGTTACGACACCTAAAAGTCTCTTGTAAAGTTATTGTAGCACTTTTAAATATTTGTTCATATAAACTTAAACACTTTAACGGTCCTATAAACCCGATTAATTTAGTTGTTCTAGATTAGTTTAATAGGATTTGTTTATATTAGTGTTTTGAAATTTATAAAACCATTCATTTTATAATAATTAATTAATAAAATATAGTTTATAAAATTATCTATAAGGAATGAAATTGAATATCATCCAAAATCTTACAATAAACACGCCAAAATTTCCAAATAACCTTACATACATTTCGTCAAACCAGATATCCACTTAACAATCAGCCATCTAAAGTCGTGCTTACATCACAACTTCGATTAAATAATTGCATCAACATTTTTAAGAGATGTTAAAGTACAAGTGCTGGTACACGAGGTATATATTGATGATCAAGTTACGATTACACAAAGTATGTACTACGGGACAAGAGGCACTATGCATACTTGCATCGTAAAGCAAGCATTTTTCAACAAAAACAAACTTATATCTCCATAACGACAAGATTGAGTTTATAAGACATCTAAAGTGTTTTAAGTGTCCTATTTAAGTGTTTTATAGGACAAAAAAATAAAATATCCTATATAAAAATGTTAGGGGCCGTTTACAAAACACTTATCCGATAAATGTTTACTGGTAAAATTCAACACTATCATTTTCTTACCCGGTAAGATTTTAGTCCACCGAAACGGCATTGGATACAACAATTTACCTGGTAAGTGCTAACCGTGGTAAGAGTGATCGTCCTCACTTACCGGATAAGACTCTCGATTCTTAGCTCGCTCTTACCGGGTAAGATTCTTGGTCCTTACCATATTCTTCCGGTAAGGTAATGTGACTTGGTAAGCATTTACCCAAGTAAGCGTTTGGTAAACAACCCCTTATACTATGTTTATAGCATGCTTTTGAGCTTCGTAACAAGTTTTTTTAGCACATTCTTTAAATAAAATGTTGTATTAACTTTTCATATAACACTATTTGAAAAAGTATCCTGTAAACATAAGTATCCTATGAAACTTATCATACCACTTTTAAATAGGACGTTCTATTATTTGGTCGTATAAATTTAAGTCATATAAAACATTCTATTATGACATTTAAACACTTTAGACGTCCTATAAATCCGATTTTGGTTTAACGCCCAAAATGAATGTTACAAATATATTGTAATATTGTGTGCTAATTAATAAACAAATAGGTAAATTTATTAGTTATTAGATATGAATCAAGATTATAACCCAAAATAAATAATCAATAACTAATCCAAACATAAAAAAACATTGAAGTAAATTCTAGCAAACAGGTAGATAAGATTGATTTTCGCCTTCTCGTAAGTTGACCGTCTTTTTTCATCTGATCATTCATTAAATGACCATAATAAAAAAACGAGAAAATGACTGTGTTTTTCATATCTATATAAAAATGACCACCTAAATCACCAAATGAATTCGTTATTGACAAAATGACACGTTTCACTCTGTTATTGGTTGACGATTTCAAGAAATTAAACCATGAGAACCTCACAATTTAACGATTTGGTTGGTCATACTTGGTTAAGTTATGATAATTTAAGAGAACACCCTTATGTGTATACATATAACCCATCTAATCAACGTCGTAAATGGTTCCTTCTCCCAAACCTTGGTGCTTTATGCACGTATCCTGAAAAATAGTAAACTAAAAGGGTTACAAAAAGAATTTAAAAACCATTTTTTATGCATGAAGTAATGTTTATTGATGCATATTATTTAAAATTCAAGATTACAAGTAATTTTATGTAAGTACAAATTATTAAAGCTCTATTTAAATTCGTGTATCTAATTGCAGATAAGCATAATCAAATACAAGATAAATATTTATTTTAAATATAAAAAAACTAAAATATAATTGAGATAATCATTATTGAATTCTAACAGAATGTTTAGTTATTATTTTTATAAAAAGTTATATTATTAAACCAAAAATAAATTACTTTGTTATTAAATTAAAATTATATTATAATAAAAAATTGAATTAAAGAAGTTACACAAAAAAAAAACGAGAACTATTATATAGTTAATTTGATACTAATATCGATTTATTTTTTTTAGATTTTATTGTAAACTTCAAATTTATATTTCATTAAATGATAAAAAATTACCGTTTTCTCAAAACCATATAAAATCGCATCATATAGATAGAGACAAAATAAAAACTAAACATTAAAATTGAGATTTATCTCACTGCATAACTCGAGTATCCTTCTAGTATATATTAAGGCAACAAAAACTCTTAAAAATCATTTTTATGCATAAAGTACTGTTTATTGATACATATTACTTAAAATTCAAGATTACAAGTAGATTGTACATAACTAAAACCTATTAAAGCTTTATGATTGAATGCGTGTAATTAACTGCAGATAAACATAATTAAATACATAATAAACATCCCATTTTAATTATAAAAAATCTAAAATATAATTATGATAATCATTGAGTTCTAGCTGAATCTTAGTTATTATCTTTATAAAAATTATATTATTATACCAAAAATAAATTGCTTCGTTCTTAAACTTAAATAATTATATCATTAAATCAAAAATTATATTATGTTATTTTTTCAAATTTATATTTTATTCAAAAATAAAAACATTATCGCTTTATATACTCCCCGGAAAACTTACTCATGAAAGGTCTTCGAGAAGGGGCATGGAAATATGCTTGAAAGAATTCTGTATTTTCTTTCTGTAGTCCCCTCCACACTGTGCATCAATTCCAAAATGCGTTGATTAATAATACATTTGAAACAGACATACTCAGGAACAGATATATATATATATATATATATATATATCCATATAACAGAGATGGATCTAGAATTTTTTTTTTAAATGATGTCACAATAATTTGATTATAAGAAACAAATATAAGGATATTTTTCACAAGATTATCATTAATTTGTTGATTAGTTTATTGTTTTTCATTTGTGAGTTTTGTGTTAAGTCTTTTATTGCAAATTTCTTTCTAAAGCAAAATAATTTTGAAATTAAAAGGTAAAAACTAAGAAAATGACAAAAACATGATTCAAACTTGGGTCTGAGGGTGAAAAAAAAGTTTTACAGATCAACTCTACCAAAGAAAACTTGTATTCTCATTGTAGTTTGAAAATATATATAGTAACACACAACCAATTGATACACTGACACTTTTCACTCTATAATTGTTTACACTATGATAGAGGAACAAAACAGTAACACGTGCCATCATTTGGGTCCGTCTGTCCCGGTCATATACCAATTTCTAGTCTTAGATATAAGATCATGCAAAAAACAATATATATCTTAGGATAATAATTCTCATATTTATCATAATATAAGAGATTTTTATTTGATTATCTATATATATTAACCAGAAGTACAATAAATTCTGATTAAAAGGAATAAAAGAAGTTTAAAATTTTTAATGAATATAGGGACGTAGGTAGGTACAACCATCTTAAATGAATTTATAAACTAGTATATATATATATATATATATATATATATATATATATATATATAATATAAGGTTTTACTTTGCAAAGAACGTTATTTATATTAATCGTATAAACCTCATGCAACCAGTCATAATTTTTATTTTGTTTATTTTTTTTGTAATTATAAGAGGTTAATTAATCATTTTTATTGTGGAAGATATTAATCATGTATATTATCATTTTTATTATATTAATTTTAAAGAAATATATGAAACAATTTTATTAAAATTTCATAAGTATTATATGAAACAAATTTCATGAAAAAATTCATAAGATCAAACAATGAAATCGACGGATAAGGATAGTTTGCACGGTTTGTACAAATATGGATGATTTGCATTTGATCGTTCATCTATATAGATACATGCATACATGCATGCATGCATACGTACATACATACATACATACATACATACATACATACACAGGGTTGGGTCCCGGTAAAAAGACATGTTAATTATGGTGAAAAAGATAAGAAAAAATCTTCACCTTTAGATCAATCCTAATAAAAAATCAACACTAAAGCGATGCATCAGATCAATTCCCTTTTAAAACTCATTCATGAGTGTACATAAGATTAAAAGTGATCAATGGGGAAGATCTCTTCTTAAGATTCTCATCTTAGCTTTTTTTCTCACATGATTCTTTCGCATATATATATCCAACCATCTACATCAAATACATATATGGCAACGGAGAACCAATCAATGAACAAAACCATGACCTCGTTAATATGATTATTACTTATTAACTAGTCAAAAATAAGCTACATATTCTGCCATACACCTGACACGATTATATTCATGAAAACGGTCTCTTTACTTTTTAGACAAATGAAAGATTACGTATATATTACTCTACACACACTTCAAGTGGAACTCATTGTTATTTGTTTAGTTACTCTAAGAACATCCGATACCCTAAATATATACACACAGACACAAACACGAAGCATGCATTTATCGTTTCTTTTCACCTGTGTACGTGCATATATATATAACCCCATATCCATATATACAAACACATAATTACTGTAAGTGTAGAAATTTTTGTTAAACCCTTTGGTTGGGAATGTGTATATATATACATGGAGAGAGAGTGGTATGTAAGGAAAGAAATTAAACCTGTAAGCGTGATGATGGGGTGAATGCAGACATGTTTGGCGAGGACTCTTATGCATTCATCTCGGTCCATTTGCAGCAGCAGACACCTCTCTATAAGATGTTGAACCTACGCATATATATATAATTCTTATATTATATCCAATTCACCTCCATCAACTAGCTACTATATACTTTACTATACGTATATATACATATGCATATATATATATATATATAACATATTAAAGTGTAGCCTAGATAGAGGGAAAGAGAGGATGTATATATATATATATGTACCAGTCTGATGTAAGTAGTGGGGTGGCAATGGAAGCATGGCAAAGAGGGTTGGCACCTATGATGAGGGTTGTGCATGATATGTTATGAAAGGATCTTGGTTTTAATTTGATTCAAGAAATGGACCAAGAAACAAAAAGAATGAAACAGGATGTTCTTTAAGACATAAGATTGGACGCGAGAGAAATATAATTTAATATATCTCTCTCTCTCTCTTTCTATATATATATATATATATATATATGTATGTATGTATATATAGGTGTATAAATGTGTGTTATCTAATAGTAGGTAAGAGAGATCCAAGTGAAGGGACCAAAAAGCAGGAGGAATCCAAAGAAGAGATAAGAGATATCCTATTTTAACTTCCCAACTCAATTGTCTTTATGTTTCTTTAATCATTGGCCATATATCTCTTCCATATTTCTTTTTCTCTCTCTCTACAACATACCAATTAATGTCACAACAAATTTGGGTCATCTATTTAATTATATATATATATATATATATGTGTGTGTGTGTGTGAGAGAGAGATATCGTAATTTAAACACCACTCACTACTTCTTGCATAATCTAGGGCGATATTTAGACTAAAAAAATATTGTTTTAGAAAACTAAAATATTTAAAATTGACAAATATTGGAACTAAATAAATAATAAAAAAAAAAATTGAAGGCAAGAAATAATGATGTTTATTTCTTTATTTTTTTATTGACTTTAATTTATATTTTTCGTCCTTATTACAATATTGTATGTACATTTAGGTTATTCTTATTATATTTTCATATTTTAGTATGTGGATGCAAAATGCATCCGTCTAATGATGATCTATACATAATCATATGTTGTTTTAATATTTGTACATTTTCATATAATCATATTGTATATACGATTGGGAGGTGTGTTTATTTATGATCTCATTTATGATACACACAAAAAGGATGACATATATATATATATATATATTGTACAAATCACTTGTGATTGTATATAAGATGAGAAGTGGTTGTATATGATCATGTATACATGACAATTATATAAAATCACATGTAATTATGCAAAAGATTATCAATATACACACAACAATGTCATAATTTGTACATGTATTTGGATTGGTACATTTCGTATCCATAAACTAATATTGTGTGTTTATGTACATATCACATGTGTTTTTGTACATGATAACAAGTTGTTATGTTATCTTGTGTATAATCACATGTGATTGTATACAACGTCATAGTAGATATATAACAATTAAATATTTCGTTAAACAATGGACGAATAATTATATATATATATATATATAT